GGCCCAAAGCGATAACTGTACCTTCGATTATGGGTCCAAGTATGATAACCGTACCTACGTTTATTATCACCGGGGTATCCCTGATTTTAAAGACGATAGTCGAATCTATGTTCCTCACTAGACGACGCTATGACAAAGGAAACATTTCCTTCGTATATGATCACACTGGTTCAGGTAACAATAGGGTCAGTTGAACCATGAAAATCTATAGTAATGACTGATGTAACAGCATCAGTGACTGATGCAACCATCTAGATTTCTGAATGATAGCCGAACTTCGCCATCCCAATAATTTCTTGCTATTCTAACCGGTCATATTTGCCTAACCCTAATGATTGAAACTGTATTCTTGATTTCAGAGTGTGATTGTATACGGGACACACTTTTGGGCACGAATATAATGATCAGGCTAACAGCATCACCGGTGGCAAAATGAAAACCTACGGAGACGGCTGCTATACTGGCATCATCGGCTATCTTGAGCCTCAACTAGGCCGTAAAATTCTATGAACCGACCCTCATCGTGGGTTGCCGCTCTCTTCATCAGCATTTCTAGAGTTCATGCAGATGTCTAAACTAACATAATTGAATGCACGACGAGACGGCAGATAACAAAAAATTAGTACAGATTAGTGTGACTACGAAACCAGATATAGGACCGTAGAATCACGAAAACCTACGGTGATAATGAGTACGTTCGCATTACTGGTTACCATGAACCTCAATGAGTCTGTAGAATGTAAGAAATCGCCCATCACCGTAGATTCCTCCTCTCCTAACCGGTATTTTTAGGGTTTATGGTGATGTTCGAAACTGCATAAACGAGTGCACGATGAGGCAGCAGATAAAAAAGCTGTTAGCGCAATCCCTTGTGGGATTAAAAATGTGAAACACGATCGACCTATTGTTACTAATTAAATGGAAATCCTTTTGTTCCATCTCGATACGACACATTTGTAGCTGACCGTATATCTGATGCTTTACAACTACACTTTCTCTGTCACGGTCTGTGATGGGTACCCGGGTTCTCTGTCACGGTCTGTGATGGGTACCCGGGTTCTCTGTCACGGTCTGTGATGGGCACCCAGGATTCTCTGTCATGGTCTGTGATGGGTACCCGGGTTCTCTGTCACGGTCTGTGATGGGTACCCGGGTTCTCTGTCACGGTCTGTGATGGGTACCCGGGTTCTCTGTCACGGTCTGTGACGGGTACCCAGATTCTCTGTCACGGTCTGTGATGGGTACCCGGATTCTCTGTCACGGTCTGTGATGGGTATGGATTTTCTCTGTCACGGTCTGTGGGGGGGAGTGGGTCCAAATTGCTACCCCTAAACACTTCAACACTCCTTTTAGATCGTGTTTCACAAAATTTTATCCCAGCTGAGTGCGATGATCATGTAAGTTATAAGACCGATAGGATCGCGAAAACCTACGATGATGACTACTATATGAGTATTAGTGGTTACCTGGAATCTCAATGAGTCTGTAAGACGCTAGAAACCGCCCTTCATCTTAAGCTCCTGCTCTTCTAACCAGCATTTTTAGGGTTCATGGTGATGTTCTTAACTATATAATTAAGTGCACGAGAAGACGACAGATGAAGTTTTCTTTCCGAGATGACTGTGAATACGAAACCAGTTATAGGACCCATATGGTCATGAAAACCTACGGTGATGGTGACTAGATAGGCACTAATAGTTATCCTGAGCCTCATAGAATCTCTAAAATGTAAGAAATCAGCTGTCACCGTAGGTTTCTGACGTCCTCACCGATATTATTGGTCTTAACGTTGTTTGTTTATATCACATTCCTAAGCTATTTGCTTAAGTATCTTTCATATTCAGCTAGCTTTAGGCTAGCAATTTTCATTTATATGAACATACTGATGCTGGCTATCATATGCCTATAGGCAATTGCGTATTCGTGAAGTGATCATTATATGGAAACGGCTTATGAAGTTTGCTAAATACAATCATATATCATACTGGCCAGATGGATAGCGACTGAGGATGCGCTTCTCGATTATAGAATGTGCATCTTTACTTTTAATAGGCATCAGATCAACCTGAGTAGCTTTAATTGTAACACGTTGTGGCCGCTGCTTACGGTGCACCGGTGCTACAGTGAACCAGTGGCCATCATCACCGTTGCATCCCTACCAATATTCACACACTCATATCCCACACACACACCGACAAGCTCGAACTCACACCCACATCTATACTCTTCGTTATGTTTTATATACCGTTTTGTAGCTCTTCAAATTCTCTGTCAAATGGTGTATAATAGCTGAGGCTTTATTTGACTATGATAGGAAAGGTGTTTTATGAAAGTGGGGATACGCCGATTTTCTTATAGGAAGCCATACGGAAACATGAGTATTTTTGCAATAACTCAGGAACGACTTGGCCAATCCTTTTCATCTTCGAAGTCGACCGAGGTAATGTTGAGACTAAACTGTGTAGAAAGTTTTCTCGTGATCGCATTCTTCTTTCAAAAGTGATCGTGTAAACGGGCGGACGCATGCACTGACCGATTCTAAAGTATACTCACTTTTTGAACAAATAGAAAAGAAAAATGTGTGAATTAGGTGTGAATGCTTTTTGCCGAAAACGCAATATCGAAAACATTTTTTTGGTCCCGGAGAACGTTGCAAAGGTGAGGATGAGAGAATACATCCTGTTCCGCAATGATGCAATTGCAAATTGCGGAAAAAGATGACTGCTCGAGGATGAGGGAAAAATGAATTGATCTCGTTATGCTTAATAATTCTATACAAAAATGAAAGGGCTCACAACGGTCTACATTATTCTTTAGCCTTTCTATGAACCGCTCTTCGGCGAAGAGGCATACAATCTCTTACGTCAACTTTTTTGATTAGAAAATATATTTGATGAAACCTAAGTGCTTCTTCTCTATATGGAAGAAGCCATTGTATAACATATGTCTGCTCATTCTGAAGAAACCTACAGCAGGAATATTTATCTACTAATTCTTTTTCTTTTGCCTGCAGTATATAATACGACGATACATCAGTGAACTGAACTACAATCGCTTATCTTCTTGTCGAACGCAATCGCATACTACAGTCAATGTCAACTCGATAAACAGAGTAAAAAACATCTTAATCATTCTTATTCAGTATAGTTAACTGTACTTGCAGATTCACACAATATTCTGTGTTACCTTCCACTATCGGTACCATTTGTCGGCAAACTTTCTCATCAAGTGTGTAATCCACCATTACAATGTCTGTCTCTATACTTATGAATCATTGAATCTAATATCATCATTCAATGACAAAATATATGCGATCTCGTGGTGTTCTCTATGTAACCACTCGACGACCAAAAAATAATGTGCATCCGACGAATAATCAGACTGTCAGTCCTCAAGACTTTTTGTTCTCGGTTGTTACACTCTTAAAATCTTTGACTGTTCATATTTTCTCTTTGTGTAAATAGATGTCTACTATTTTGGCTGCGCGTTATCATCAAGGCAAACCTCAGGTTACTGTGATGGAAGGACAGGGAGAGGGAAGAAGACAGAGAAAATATACGGAAGGTGAAACCATCCTTCCCCACCATTACAATGCTCTGGAAAAAGTCCAGGATAAATCTGTTAAACAAATTATCAGTCAAAATTTTGGTAAATCAATAAACAACCGAGCATATACTAACAATGCGACCAAAATGGCTCCATATTCTCAGCCATCAATACAGGTGAGATATCAAAATGAGTAGCAGATTCATTATAAGATTCTATACATTCAAGTATTCATTAATGGAGATCTACAAATTGTTGAGTTTTTATTCTATGAACAAGTTCTTATTCCGAATATAAATATATAGTTTCATTGAATTTTAGAAAGATCCAAAAATTCTAGTTTCATATAAAATTCGATAGATAGAAAGTATTCAATAATTTTTAAGCCTAATAAGTTTATTTGTGTGTAACTAGTATGCTTGACTACATACTCTATTAGCTAAACTCTTAATGAAGTGACTTTCCACTGAGACTATGATTATGATAAATGCCTAATGATTTTCTATGACTAAACGATTTTATATATGCTTTCTACACTTTTTCCTCTTTAATCAATGGATAACGTCTGTTGAAACCGCACCACAGTCACTTATAAAAAACAGAATTTCTTTTTAAAAAATATAATGAAAAGGACAGAATGACTACAGAACCAGAGAATTTTATGATTATGTTACGCAAAAGGTGTATTTCGAGCTGTTTTCAAGGGAAAATCTTTGCCATTGAACTTCATTTTCATAAAACAAACTAGAAGTGTACTCGTTTACACAGCGTCTACGTCAAAGAAAAAGTATTTCAAAAGAGAAGCCGTAAGTAAGAATTGGAAACAACGAAATACTATCATGTTACATGTATTTCAACAGCATTTTTCATAGTTAGTTTGCATATTGTAATTGAACTTTTCCTACTTCCATGAAAAATTTCTGCCTCAGAAAACAAGTTCGAGATTAATGAAAAGTCAGATGATAGATTGAAGGAGTCTCGGAGATATACTTTAGAAAGATAACGAATGCTCAATAAATATTTATTCGTAAAAAATAAAGTAACTTAATCCTGATAATATTTCCATTTGAGTTACTTATATATAAAATTATTTTGGTCTCAATGGATTATGTTTGCATTTGAGTTATTATTACAAATAGTTTTACTTGATTCGATGATAAAACTGAAGCCTAAAGGAAACTATTCACTCCCTATTTCTTTTGTCTCTATTCATCTTTTAAATTAATCTAGACAACTACATCATTGTCAGATGGAGTGGATTCTCAGAATGTCCGTTGCCAAACGCGAAATAAAAATAAAAAGATTTTGTAAGTAACTGTTTCATATTTTATCTCCTATTAACTTTTAAAAATCATTCACTTAGCTATTTTAAACATATTTGCTGCCAATGTTCACCTGTTTGTTTTTTCCTATCTTCACTTGCTATTACTTTTCTCTGTGCCGGTATTGCTACAATGCTTGTCGTCTGGATTGGCATCCCTAAAACAACTACATCAGTGACAACAACTACATCAGCAACAACAACTACATCAACGACAACAACTACATCAGTGACAACAACTACATCAGCAACAACAACTACATCATCGATAACAACTACATCATCGATAACAACTACATCAACGACAACAACTACAACATCGACAACAACTACATCAACGACAACAACTACATCAACGACAACAACTACATCAACGACAACAACTACAGCATCGACAACAACTACATCAGTGACAACAACTACAACATCGACAACAACTACATCAACTACATCATCGACAACAACTGCATCAGCGACAACAACTACATCAACGAAAACAACTGCATCAACGACAACAACAACATCAACGAGAACAACTACATCAGTGACAACAACAACATCATCGACAACAACCACATCAACGAAAACAACTACATCAACTACACCAACAAGTAGGGCAACATTTGCATGCTTAGAGTGTTGGTGTTGGTGAGTTGGGTGTGTTCATGGATGTGGGTGTCGGAATTGTTGTTCTTGTTTTCTTCAGACGCACTCACGCCCTGTCCGTCATAATGCATATTTTATTTTCTCCAGTATGCTTATTTATTTTTTCTCATTCAGTATCCAATATGAATTTGATTACCAATGGTGACGGTGCGACGGGTCCTTGTGAAACAGCTGGTGGAATCACACATCCGACAGGCTGGAACTATAATGGTACAGTTACTCAAATATCTTACAATAATCCTACTTATGGTGACCTCAGCTTATCTGATCCTGGACCTAGGTAAGATGAAAATATTAGTCTTATAATTCAAAAACAAAATTTGACTTATAAAGTAATCGCGGTCAGTGCTATTTTTTCGGCCAAATTTCAAGTACAACTACAATGTGGCAAACAATTAATCTAATGACCACAGTGCTTCCTACACTAATTGATTCACAAACAGTTTTTTTCAATTTTTCAGCTTGGATTGGAGGTTGGTCAACGCAAAACGATAATGCACAAGCTTCGTTGACTTACAAAGATCAACTCAACCAACAAGTGGGCAGTACTACAACGATTGGACCAGTTCTGGCGAGTGACCGAGGCGGTGTATCCTCACTTTTGTTTCGACAAGCTCAAGGTCAGGTACCGAGCGATGCTCGTACAGCCATTGTGCTCGTAAAATTTACGTGCGTGGACGGTACATCAAATGATGGAGATATTGATAATATCTCGCTATATTTATACCAATAAATGAAATAATCAAAATAGAGAAAACTTTTATTTTTCAAGGAGGTGGACGTGGTCATCGTGACAACAGACTTCACTTTCACCCACAACCTACAGGGCTGCTGAATATCTATGATAAATTGAAGGCTGTGCGTGTGAGTGTGGATGGCGTGGGTGGTGGGTTTGTGGGTGTGTGAGTGTATGGATGTGAGTGTAAGTGTATGGGTGTAGGTGTGGCTGTGGGTGTGACTGTGCGGTGGATGTGGATGTGCCGGTGGCGGTATACGGGTGTGATTGTTGACCTTCTTCTCATCTGCAAACACACCCATGCCTATTCACACCCTACCCTCACCCCATCCCACACCCACACTCACACTCACATCCACACAGCCACAGCCACACCCGACATCCACACACCCACACCCTATGTGTACCGCAAAAAGTGAAAAAGCGATTCCTTAATCCAAAAAAAATGTATTCACAGTTTTCAGAATATGAGTTCGGATTCAGATTTCTCGACCCCAATTTGCTTTCGCCAACATTTATAAAACATCGCTATTTTCTCAAAAAACCTTTTCCTTGGTCCAAAAGTTTGAGCTCTAATTTTTAATGCTTGATATACCATTTTGTAGCTCGTGAAATTCTCTATCGAATGGTATATAATAGTTGGGGTTTTATTTTGACTATGATGGGAAACGTTTTTTTATGAAAGCAGAAATAGGTGAATTTTCGCATAAGAGGCCACAGAAAAAAATCAGTCTTTTTGTAATAACTCAGGAAGATTATAGTTATCAGTGTTTATGAGCAATAATTTGGAGATTAATAATATTGTTTTTACAGCAGTATATAACAGGGTGTGGGTGTGGGTATGGGTGTGGGTGTGGGTGTGGATGTGGGTATGGGTGTGGGTGTGGGTATGTGTGTGGGTGTGGGTGTGGGTATGGGTGTGGGTGTGGGTGTGGGTGTGGGTATGGGTGTGGGTGTGGGTGTGGGTGTCGTTCTTTGCTTCCCTTAATAGATCAAGTTAACAATATAAATATGTTAAATTTTTCTTATGACTGTAATAATTAATTATATGAGATTGTTTGTCAAGACTCTGGTGAGAGAGACTTCGAGTTGAATAGTTATAAGTACTTTTCAATTATCTTTAAACAAATATATTCTAATTTAATTGAAAATCTATTTTTTAGAAACAACTTCTAAACTTAAATTCCAAAATTATTCTATTTAAGTTCTAATAATTATTTTTATGATAGAACGACAATATAGATTTCGATGATTATGTATGGCAAACATAATAAATTTTGTATATTATTCATTCGAAGATCTTTAAAAATTAAACAAAAATAAAGAATAATCAAGAAAATTTCTCGAGCATTATTTCACATAGAAAAACTTGTGAGATAAGAAAAATAATTGTTAATATCGGTAAAACAATCTAAGAGAATTGAAATCTTTCTTTTTCAAAGACTTGAATTCACTTTTTATTTAACATATATTTTTTAAAAATAAATCATATTTTATGCCATTAAATCTAAATATCTTTTCTTTTTAATATTTTAAGAAAGATAAATCTAATTTATTGTTAACTCTCAAAAAGAAATTAATTTTTTTTAAATGAAAATCAGATTATCATAATTTTAATTCATAATGAAAATTACAAGAAAATATTTGAGAAAGCTTAGGTTATATTTTCGCACATAATTTCCTCAGAAAAGAAAAAGAAATGAAAGCTGTTAGCGCAATCCCTTGCGGGATTAAAAATGTGAAACACGATGGATCTATTGTTACTAATTAAATGGAAATCCTTTTGTTCCATCTCGATACGACACATTTGCAGCTGAACGTATATCTGATGTTTTACAACTACACTTTCTCTGTCACGGTCTGTGATGGGTACCTGGATTGTCTGTCACGGTCTGTGATGGGTACCTGGATTCTCTGTCACGGTCTGTGATGGGTACCCAGTGTTCTCTGTCACGGTCTGTGATGGGTACCTGGATTCTCTGTCACGGTCTGTGATTGGTACCCAGGGTTCTCTGTCACAATCTGTGATGGGTACCCGAATTCTCTGTCACGGTCTGTGATGGGTACCTGGATTCTCTGTCACGGTCTGTGATGGGTACCCGGATTCTCTGTCACGGTCTGTGATGGGTACCTGGATTCTCTGTCACGGTCTGTGATGGGTACCCAAATTCTCTGTCACGGTCTATGATGGGTACCTGGATTCTCTGTCACGGTCTGTGATGGGTACCCAGGGTTCTCTGTCACGGTCTGTGCGG